TTGAAGTTTTGGGTCATTTTAAAATAAATCCTAATACTTCATTACGCAGACTTGTTGCTGCGACTGGTATTTCATTAGGCTCTGTACACACAGTTTCTAAACTCCATAAATGTCATCCATTTAAAATGAAAACATTGCAAGAGTTTACCGAAGATGATTTCGATAGGCGAGTTGATTTTTGTGAACAAATGCCCATTTTATTTAAATGGATTTGTTAATAAGCATAACTCCAGGTATTGGAGCAATGAAAATCCTCATGCTTTTGTAAAAGGCCATACCCAGTATCCCAAAAAAATTAATGTATGGGCAGGCATTTTAGGAAACAAAGTGATTGGGCCATTGTTTATTAATGGAAATTTGAATGGAGACATTTATTTGGATATGTTGGAAAATACCATCAGTCCGCTTATCATTGAAACCATTGAAAACCAAATCAAAGAGGATGAAAACCCTATACTTGATGGTTCTGAAATATACTTCCAGCAAGATGGCGCTCCCACTCACTATGTTCTTTCGGTTCGGCAATGGCTGGACGACGAGTTTCCAGATAGATGGATAGGGCAAAGAGGGCCTATAGAATGGCTTGCTAGAACTCCTGAATTGGCGTCATTAGACTTTTTTCTATGAGGTCATTTGAAATCTAGTCACGTGCCAAAATCACGTAACCTTTTTTTTCTATTTATCTGTAATTTGAATTTCTCTTCATTGATAATTGAGTGCCCAAACCCCCTTTCGATGATTTTCTTTTTGCAAATTTAATAGTTTATTGATTGTGTAATTTCACTCGTATTATATCTATATCTTTCTTTCTCAGCAAAAAACTCTGCAGTTTTTCTCCGTTAGTTGGCTTCCAATTTGCAAAACTGCAACGATGCAACTGACTGGGGGAGAAATGACGAGTATTTTCTTCTGTTTCGCTGAGGGTCAAAATCCCATAAAAACTGGAAGACCCAAAATAACTAAACTTAAGTTACGCAAGAAAAATAAAAGGGTGCTAGTCCATGAATGGGTGCTTGGGGCTTTATATCCCAGAGTCTGGAAAACGACAAAGAGACCCCTGGACCACGACCTCAAGGGAGTGAGTGGCCTTGAAGAAGATATGTTTTATAGCTAACTAACGGAGAAAAACTGCAGAGTTTTTTGCTGAGAAAGAAAGATATAGATATAATACCAGTGAAATTACACAATCAATAAACTATTAAATTTGCAAAAAGAAAATCATTGACACGGGGTTTGGCCTAGGAATTGGGCACTCTATTATCAATGAAGAGAAATTCAAATTACTGATAAGTGATAAATAGGAAAAAAAAGGTTACGTGATTTTGGCACGTGACAATCTATTGTGTTAACTCTTAAACGTGAAAGTTTGGATGAACTTCGTCAACGCATCATCGAAAGCTGCCATAATATCGCACATCATGTTTTTGAAAATTTCCGTCAGTAATTTGAACATCGCCTATATCATTGTTTGACCAGTAACGGGCAACATATTGAACACCTACTGAAATAAAAAATGATATTTTCGTGTGTTTTTTGTTTTCTAAATGAACAAATTAAGACAAATAAAGGTTTTTCTCATTTTATTGAAAACGAATTGACCGATTTTTACAAAATCAAAATGAATGACTTCGAGGTACCTTTCAAACAAGCTATTACTCGATACTCCTTTAAAATTTTTAAGAGGATGACCCTGGGAGGCCGAGGGTGAAAGGGAGTGAAGTAGTTTTTGGATAAAAAGTTGTCCCCCTTGACACATCTTTTGACGTGTCTCGGCGTTTTTTTCTTTAAATCAGTGGTTTTCGATAAATCCGTGGTGGGAGGTTTTCAAATGAACTCCCTGTAGATATTTATTACTGTTTACTGGCATTTCTGCCGCTACAATGATAACTTTCAATATTTGTAAAAGGCGATCGTAGCCAAAAAATCAGAAAAAAATATTACATATACAGGGTGTCCCAGAAGTCGACGTCAAGCCGAAACCGGGTGATAGGCAAAGTCATAACAGCTATCACAAAAATATTTAAAAAAATTTCATGTATGTGTTTTGAAAATTATAGGTCTTTGAAAAAATATAGAAATTTCACACCCTACGGCAGTCTGTCAACTCCTGTTACTACAAATATTAACTTTTTTTGGATTTTATTTTTACAATGTAATGATGAATAATGCATCTTCAAACTGGTGTCTCAACCTTACTGCCAACTTTTCTCGTTCAGGAAAAATTGCCACTTATTTCCCAACCAAGTATTCCAAAGTAAGACTTTGCTCAACTTTAACTGGCTGTACTGGAAAAAATGTACTACGAGAGTTTGGCAAGTAACCTTAAAAGTTGGCGCATTTAATAACGATTCCAAAATGGTATAACACTTAGAAGATTACCCGTTAACTTATGCACAATTTTTATTTGAAAAAAAACTGATGAAAATTTTTCAAAATTTCCTACTTATGCAGCGATTATGAAAACGCACAAGGACCCTTAAGGATAACTGTTTGCACAACAGTGGGCGTCAAAATGCTGCTGATGATGATTTACTCGTACCTTTACAGCAAATGCTCAAACAGTTTTCCTTCAGCCGCAATACACGCTCGACATCTTCTTAAAAAAGATCGGGTTATTAACGAGCGAATTCACGGTTATTAACAAACTCAGCTGCTTCCAATACTCTTTGCCGCAGCTCAGCTACATTTTGAATCGGCTTGAAATACACTTTTTCTTTTACAGTTCCCCAGTAAAAAATCTAAAGGATTCAAATCAAGTGATCGGGCTGGCCACGGTATTGTACCAGACCGCCTTATCCATCTGCCTGGAAAGTTTTGATCGAGATACTCTCTCACTGAGAGTGCATAGTGCGCTGGACAGCCATCATGCTGAAACCACATGTCCCTGTAAATACTCAGTGGCACGTCCACCAATAAATTTTGTACATGATTTTTCAAAAAATCCAAATAAACTTCAGCAGTCAAAGTCTCTGGGAACTCAAACGGACCGATTATTTTACCATTTAAAATTACTGTCCAATGGTTTATCTTGAAGCGATATTGAGATTTATCTTCTCTCATCAAATGTGGTTTGCTACGTGCCACTCGTGTAAGTTATGCAGGTTCATGTACCCATCTTTCTTAAATGTGGTCTCAACCGACCATAAATTTTTTCAAAGAACTGTGGAGAGGTTGAACACGCTGTATGTGGTATGGATGAAGCACATCACTTACTTGCTATTGCACACTTTGATACCTTCGTTTACTGCGCATCTTTACATGTTCGTGCTTGTTGATTTCGTACTGTTACTAATTTTGGATTCGTGAACTGGACTGTTGATCGCTTGTGATTTGGATTTGGACTGTTTAATTGCTCTTCAAAACAACATTTGCTTTCCTTAGACTATCTTTGATAGTGTGATTGTGCAGTGCCGCTATGTCCGTATACACCGTACAAGAATATGCTAACATGCACCTCATTTATGGGGAATGCATATGCAACGCTAGTGCTGCAGCGAGACTTTACTGTGAGAGGTACCCGAATGCAGCTCGTCATCCAGATCATCGAGTGTTCACAAATGTGCACCGCTTACTGTTCTCAGAGGGCCAACTACCAAACCAATCACACGGTGAGGGAAGATATTTCCTTCCTTACGAAGACGTGGTGCTAGGAGCTGTCGAAGAAGAACCGAGTACTTCAGTGCGTGCAATAGAACTAAAAACAGGTGTGCCCAAAAGTACAGTCCATAGAATCTTGCAAAAAAACGTGCTCCATCCATACCACGTACAGCGTGTTCAAGCTCTTCTGCCCCGGGATTATGAGCCCCGAGTTGCTTTTTGTCGCACAATGTTAAAAAGACACAGGGAAGATCCACGGTTCTTTGAAAAAAATGTATGGTCAGATGAGACCACATTTAAGAAAGATGGGTACATGAACCTGCATAACTTACACGAGTGGCATGTAGCAAACCCACATTTGATGAAAGAAGATAAATCTCAATATCGCTTCAAGCTAAACCATTGGACAGGAATTTTAAATGGTAAAATAACCGGTCCGTTTGAGTTCGCAGAGACTTTGACTGCTTACGTTTATTTAGGTTTTTTGCAAAATCATTTAGAAAATTTATTGGAGGACGTGCCACTGAGTATTATTTACAGGGACATGTGGTTTCAGCATGATGGCTGCCCAGCGCACTATGCACTCTCAGTGAGAGAGTATCTCGATCAAAACTTTCCAGGCAGATGGATAGGGCGGTCTGGTACAAAATCTTTTTTAAGATGTCGAGCGTGTATTGCGGCTGACGGAAAACAGTTTGAGCATTTGCTGTAAAGGTAAGTCATCATCAGCAGCATTTTGACGCCCACTGTTGGGCAAACAGTTATCCTTAAGGGTCCTTGTGCATTTTCATAATCGCTGTTTAATTAGGAAATTTTGAAAAATTTTCATCAGTTTTTCTTCAAATAAAAATTGTGCATAAGTTAACGAGTAATCTTCTAAGTGTTATACCATTTTGCAATCCTTATTAAATGCGCCAACTTTTAAGGTTACTTGCCAAACTCTCGTAGTACATTTTTTTCCCGTACAGCCAGTTAAAGTTGAGCAAAGTTTTACTTTGGAATTCTTGGTTGGGAAATAAGTGGCAATTTCTCCTGAACGAGAAAAGTTGGCAGTAAGGTTGAGACACCAGTTTGAAGATGCATTATTCTTCATTACATTGTAAAAATAAAATCCAAAAAAAGTTAATATTTGTAGTAACAAGAGTTGACAGGCTGCCGTAGGGTGTGAAATTTCTATATTTTTTCAAAGACCTATAATTTTCAAAACACATACATGCAATTTTTTTAAATATTTTTCTGATAGCTGTTATGACTTTGCCTATTACCCGGTTTCGGCTTGACGTCGACTTCTGGGACACCCTGTATATGTATTTTCATTTGGCCAGAAGATCATGGAGTTCTATCGTGGTCACGTGTTCTGTATCTTTTGTTCATTTAGATACGAGTACAATGATCACTATTCATTTCATATCGAGATTTCTTTATTTCTTACATATTCAGATAATAATTTAACTATGTACAAGAATATCAAATCGTTGAGATCCACATAAATATTATGTAGATTTAAGTATAAAAAAAAACCTTAAAACTAAGCATGATCACATTTCGGAATTTACACAGACGATTCTGAGCATGATGGACCTTTGGTGTACGTCAGTTTGGTTCTTTGGGTAACGTGGAAACTGTCACAACTGTCGAGCTTTCGCCTGTGGCTGTTGTTAATGCTACTATCCTCATCGCTTCTTCATAAGAAGGAGGAGCTGAAAAGATAATTAGAAATTATTTGCTGATACCTTAGACTTATGCTTACCGAAATGGTTTACGACTGATATGTATTTTGAAAGAATCAAGACATTTGTTCGAACGAAACTCGGTGAATCGAAGAGAACTTGTGCAGATGGACACAGAAACTAAACACCGCATCATAATTCCTAATGAGAAATCTGCTGCCTTGCTAGACCTAAATCGTGGATACGTGCGCGTCTCTCCAACACGTCAAAAGAAACTAGCTTTAAGCTGTAACCGTAAACGTTTATGCAACATTATTGTGTGATCAGCACCGTTTTCAAATAGTTGTAGTATGTAGAATGTTTGAATGAGTGCGTTAACGTCGATCGGGTTTTTGATATTTTTTGTTGCACTAAAGAGACCTTTTCCGTGTGAGACATCTCTTTATAAAAAAAAGGTTCAATGAGTGGCCTTGAAGAAGATATGTTCGATAGGAAACCAAATAATGGAGAAAAACCACAGTTTTCTTTAGCACAATACTGAATCACTGATAAAGAAGGGTGAAATTACACAATCAATAAACTATGAAATTTACCAAAAGAAAATCATTGAAAAGGGCTTGGCCCAGGAATGGGCACTCTACCATTAATAAAGAGAAATTCAAATCACTGGTAAGTGATCAAGATAGTAAAAAAATATTTCGTGATTTTGGCTCGTGATTTGTAAAGGAGAAGGGGTGGCTTCCGGCAATATCAGCTACAAAACAGCTACAAAACAAAGCTGGAGGAGTGTGTGGTGGTTCTCCGCAATGCCCTCCCACGCTGAAGATTAAAATCCCATAAGAAAATGGACGGGGTAGCACCCAAACCAAAACAATAAAGGTAAGGTAAGGTACAATATGAAGGGTACTACTCCACAAACTGGTGTTCGGCACCTACTATCCCAAAATCTGGAGGTTAAAAAAATGGCGCTCACACCACAATTTCAGGAGGAAATTGGCTGACCCGAAACACCTAAGTCTATAAAGGGGGGTTCAAGAAGTGGTCATGAAGAAGATATATGTTCGATAGGAAACCAAATAACGGAGAAAACCACAGAGTTTTCATATACTGAATCACTGCGAAAGCAAGATATAATACGTGTAAAATTATAAAATCAATAAACTATGAAATTTACCAAAAGTAAATCATTGAAAAAGGTTTGGCTTAGGATTGGGCACTCTACCATTAATAAAGGGAAACTCAAATTACTAGTAAGTGATCAAAATAGTAAAAAAAGATTACCTGGTTTTGGCATCGTGACAAAACAGCATCGGGATGCCAGGAAAGAGATCGAAAAATTAATACTGAACTGAACAAAGAATGTGGAAAGAGCTATAAATGACCCACAAGAAGACATGTGGGGTCAATCAGACAAGATAGCTACGAAAAAGCTGAAACCTACAGACACACCTTACCCGGATTCCAAATAACAAATTAAAATTCAATAGATAATTCTCTCTTGCTCACTCACGGATTGGGATATTCAAAGAGCCTTTGGACGTGCCATGAGACAGCTAGAAGAAGCTGTAACACACTTGAAATTGTTTAAGGCACTAGGGATCAACGAAACACTGAATCAGTCGTGTGAATGCTGCTCGGCAGGCAGAAGCCTAAGTGCCAGGGCACCGTGGCTACTATGAGAAGCGTAAAGAAACTTTGTTTATCTGATTTTTGAGATCCGTGAGGTTAGTAGGACTGGGAAAAGCCTCTGAGCTCTGAGGATCACAGACCGTTGGCCTAGTCGTAGAAGAGAGCTAGATCGCCGACGGCCCGCCGGTGCGAAAGGGTCCCGAAACTGTCCGTTTGAGAAGGGTCATAGATCAGTTGGACAGCTCTCCTATGAACGGCATCAAACATGGGTGATGTGCGGCAACACCTCAAACACGTAAGCAGTCTTCGAGGCCTTGTATAGAGTGAGGAGGTCATGTAGAGAAAAGTACTTCTTAGCCCTAAACAAGTAACCTAGCTTGATAAATATCCGAAGTCTTGCAGTCTGTGATGATGCTTCAGAACGGAGGTGTTTGCGAGGAGGTGGAAGGAGGATAGTTTGGCACTGATGCCCAAGCACCCAAAACTCACCAATATGGGAGTCAAATATAAATCTCTTTGCATGTTGCACTGGGAAAGCAATCAGAATGAGTTAGAGAAAGTCAACCCAGAATACACCCAGGAAAAGAACGGACTGTCTCCCGCATAATACGGATTTAGAAAAGGAAATTCCTTCATGCCCTAGTTGGTTGTATCTGACGTTAGGAGTGCCTTTAACACAGCACAATGGCAGAAAGTCGTTAAATCTCTCGACAACCTAGGCACCCCTAGCATCTGATGAAGACGATGAACGTAACCATGGGAGCACCGCAAGGCTCCGTCATAGGGCCGTTGCTTTGGAACTTGCTTTACGATGGAGTCCTTCGGTTGCAGATGCTTTCGAGAATTCGCTTATTAAGGTACGATCTGTCGATGATAGTGATTAGCAAAGAGACGTTCATTAGAAGTGCTCTTGGCATAGGAACCACGAAAATTGAACTAACTCCTGAGAAGACGGAAATAGTTAAATTTTCTAACTTCACTGGCTCTCAAAATTGAGAACACCTAGATTAGATGCCAAAATGTAATTGAATACCTTGGGACAAAGACCTGAAAATGACTGAACATATAAGTCACACTACTGATAAGGTAAACAAAATCGATGCATCCCTGATACGGCAAATGCTACTTGATCGAGGTCCCAGCAGCTCCTATCTTTGATAAGGCCTTGAGGGCAAAGAAATATAAGCAGCTAAAGCTCAGAATCCAGTGACATCTGGTAAATGGTCATGGTGCATGGACAAGAAGGTTGATTCCAGATATCAGAACCTGAATTGACAAGGGAGGTTACAACATTACACAGTTCCTCACATGACACGAAGAGAGAGAGCGAATATCCAAAATTTCGTATATTGAAGCGAAAAGGAAGATACTCCTAATCATCTACTCGATTATCGTAGATCGGTTAACGACCAAAGATAGCTGAAATTAACGTTCAGTGAGAGGCTCACTGTTGACAATTTGGCCAGGCAGGTAAGCGATCACACCAAGATACCAACAATAGGTCTCTACTTTCTCTACTCAACATACAGGGTGTTTCAGTTTATTGTTGCACAACTTTAAGATTCGATAGAACTTTTAAAATTAATGCATAAAGTCTATATAAACATGGGTCGAAAAATGCGTGGCTTCCGAAATATATAATTCGTCTGTTTGGAAATCTTCGAGCGTATTCTCTGGCTGCTTCTGCTGCGTTTCCATTTACAAAGCCATACACAAAATGAATATCCGCTAACTCTTGATTGGAGAATAAAAATGGCATTTTTATAAAACTTACAGAAAATAACAGGTAAAAGAAACTAAATTTCGTGCATTCACAATTGCAAAAAAACGTTTCAGGTTTCAACAGACAACAAAACTAATTGTCAACTAATTGACGTTTAACCTTATTCTGCTTTCAATTTCAAAAATATTTGCAGGCACAGCCTACTTCTAAAAATTATCGAGATACTGACTTTTTAACGTTATTTTATCATAAATAATTAAAAATGAATCGAACCTTAAAAATATCTCAAAAACGGCTAACTATAACGAAAATTCACAAGGGAGCTTTTTTATGTTGAAACGTGCGAAGAATCAGTTTTTTTTATTCAAAAAGCAAAAATTTTTCGGTCATTTTAATACACTACTGGTACAGTAGAGAGCGCCCTCTAGCGGCTACAGTAAAACTATGCCCATGGTTCGTTTTGCCGTACCAAAAAACCCTTCTATACCAATTTTCACTGTTATACATCAAATATTGTTCGAAATATTTAAAAAAAACTATTTTAGAAAGTAAATTTAAACACCCTGTATTTCGGAAGCCACGCATTTTTCGACCCCTGTTTATATATACTTTATGCATTAATTTTAAAAGTTCTATCGAAAGTTATGCAACAATAAACTGAAACACCCTGTATACATAGGCACGAATGTGTATAACAGGGTTATCCAAATTAAGTGTCCACCATTAGTAACTTTGTTATTAGTGAAAATACAAAGTTGTTTGAATTAGCAAACTAGTAGAATTTTTAACGCTGGTAAAAATGAGAAATAAAAAAAAAATGGGGAGTCGTTATTTTGATTTTTTTCAGTAAAATAACATTTTTTTTAAATGGAAACCCCTGTATATTATATTTTTTTCTGTTAAAGCATCAAATTTTAAACAAAAAAGTTCATAATGACTTTTCCGCTAAAGTCAAAAATAAAGTCAAAATAACGATAAATATTTTTAATTATTTGCAGTATTATAATATTAAGACGGCTATGAAAACAACATGGCGTTCGCGATTTGACAGCATTAAGATAAGCGATAAATTGTTAAACTGGACATACTCGCAACTAGAAGGCTTTGGAAAACAATGATAAAATCAAATAATGTCAAACAGTAGTGTAAATACTTGTTTATAAGCTTTATTGTGTCATTAATTTAAAGAAAAATGTTCTCCCATGAAGAAAAGTGTGATATGTTAGAATGCTATTTAGTGTGCAGAAAATCCTCCTTGAGAGCAAGAGAATACTACAGTGAATTATATCCCGCTCGCATTCAACCGTATGAACGATATTTTCTGAAACTTTATCGAAAATTTAGGGGCAACGAAAATGATTTTGCTAAATCAAGGGCAAAAAAAGAATTCATAATAAGCGAGGCCACGGAAATTGCAGTTATTGGATATTTTGAAGCTTATCGTGAGAATTCAATAGCAGATATTCTCAAGGACTCTAATTTCAGTTATGGTACTGTTCAAAGGATTTTAAAAAATACAAATTTATTCCGTATAAGTACCGACCAGTTCAAACGCTTTTGGCAGGGGATCCAGAGAGAAGACTTGTTTTTTGCCATTGGTATCTTAGCTTCTGTCGCCAAAATGTAAATAACTTTCGTTACCTTTTATGGACAGATGAATCAAATTTTTCAAATTCTGGAATGTTTAATAGAAAAAACCACCATTATTGGTCAAGAGAAAATCTTTTGTTAGTACATCCAAGAGGCCCACAAGTCCGTTTCAGTTTCAACGTTTGGTGCGGTATAATTGGTTCAAAAATTGTTGGCCCGTTCTTTTATGAGGGAACCCTAACTGGTGAAAGATATGTGGAATTTATGTCAGAAATTCTGACTAATTTCTTAGACGAATTGGATCTTATAAGTAGACATCATCTGCATTTTCAGCAAGATGGCGCACCTGCCCACAACTCCAGAGGTACTTATCATTTTCTAAGTACTACTTTTAATGATCAGTGGATAGGAACAAATGGCCCAATACAGTGGCCTCCCAGATCACCAGATCTAAACCCACTTGATTACTTCTTGTGGGGTTACTTAAAGAACCAAATTTACAAGCGAAGGTACGATAACCTTGACGCGTTAAAGACTGCAGTTAGGGAAAAGATAACCCAGATAGATGGTAGGACCATACTTAAGACAGTTCGAGCAGTTGAAAAACGTGCCCAAAAATGTATTGAAGAACAAGGTGGTGTTTTCGAGCATCTTCTTTAAAAAAAATTGTTATTGTATTTTGTAAGATTATAAGTTGATGTTGAAAATAAAGTTTGTCGATACAATTTAATTGTTTCAGATTGGAGGCCATAACTTCAACAATTTGTAACCTAGGAGAAAAGTTATTGTAAGCTTTTTTGTTTAAAATTTGATGCTTTAACAGAAAAAAATATAATATACAGGGGTTTCCATTTAAAAAAATGTTATTTTAGTGAAAAAAATCAAAATAACGACTCTCAATTGTTTTTTTTTATTTCTCATTTTTACCAGCGTTAAAAATGCTACTAGTTTGCTAATTCAAACAACTTTGTATTTTCACTAATAACAAAGTTACTAATGGTGGACACTTAATTTGGATAACCCTGTTATATGTATGTACATCGCTGAGAATACGAGGACTATGTACCTATCTTGTGAAAGCTTAACGCATAGCTACCCACCATGATGAAATGCTACGAGCATTACTGTGGTGGGATGTGTAGCGAAAGGCTGAGGGGTTTTACTGAGTATGCCTCATTTCTGGCGAATTTTACACTTTGGGCAGGAAGGGCCTATATGGTGATACTGTCGAGCTTTTCTGTCCGAGAGTGACTATGGCCCGGCTCTTCAATTGCAAATTAACTGCAGCTTGACTACTAACCAGAAGTTAACTCTTAAAAAACGTTTTTAAACATCAAGTGGTAGTTAACTTTAACCAGAGGACCCTGTATGGGATAACTATAACGAATTTACAGGCTATAGATAACTTCAAATCATAGCTACCTGACTTAGTTAACCAGCGATTTAAAAACCAGGCCTAAAAATGCTTTCCACTGCTCGCAAATTAGTAGCTTTCGAAAAAAATATATAAGGGTAACAGGACAAGGAATGGAGAAAAAATGAATACTTACCATCATTGTAATTTGGTTTGTTCATTTGGTTCTCTGCTGTGATATGTTGTACGGTAAGGTAAGCGTCTCGACTGGACCATTCGTTTGGTTGCACCCTCTCACTGATGCTATATACTCTGTCTTGTTGCGCTGTAACAAACAAAATGTTTATTACACTCTACTTACGTAACGAAACGTTAACAAAACGAATTCCGAGAGATAACTAGAGTCTCATCTGTTTTCTAATACAGAAAAGAACACTTGACATAGCGACAACCTTCGCGATTTGTCAGCAGATCTTGTTTCGTATTAGTTCTCAATCGAATGTTAGGAGACCTACTCCTTGCCGATATTAGATATTAGATTTATTGAATGAACCTAAAATACCGCAGTACAGTGTAAAATACAAAAGTACAATCTAAACACAAGTAACATAAAATAATACAATAAAAATCGCGATTAAAAAAATTGTGGCATCATATTTAAAAATTCATTAACGGTATAAAATGCGTTTCCAATGAGCAAGCTTTTAACTTCCGCTTCAAATTGGTTGTGGCTTTTGAGTGCCCCAGTACTCTGAGGTAAACTGTTAAATACGATGACACAATTATAGAAACCAGACTTCTTGAAGTATGAGATAGAATGGCTCTGAATGAGTTTAATTTTGACGTTTCGGGTGTTATAGTGATGAATTTGTGACAGGTTAGGAAATAGATTATTATTTCCTCTAGACACAGAAGCATGTGTGAGAATGTCACTCTGCTTAAACAGCTCTCTGCAGGATTTGGTAGGCTTTATGATTATATTAGTCTCAGCAATCGTTTCTGAGCAATATAAACTCTATCACTTTCGATGGAGTTACCACGACTTTATATGGCAGGTGACTATGTGCAAACGCGCAGTAAACACTGAGCAAGCCCTTGTCATTGAGTATTTTTTCAAGCTGCAACAAGATATAATAGGCTTTATTCAGGTTGTTGCATACATGATCCATGAGTGATGAGGTCGACACGTTGCCATGTTTGAGTGGTTGTACCATAGGTTTCAACATCCGAATCTACCTGAAGCAAGAAATTGTGTCCTACAAGCATAGCGAAAATCTTCTTTCTTCTGCAGTATTGTTTAACAACCAGTTTACGCGAGTTTGATCATGACGTGCTGAAATCATTTAATACCTTTTTCCACGAAAAGTAGCAAATGATAAAAAACTAAAAATACAGCATTGTTACTTGTTATCTAGAGAACGAATAACATTTAAATCTTTCCATCGTCTGCGCAAATAATATGACACCCGCTCCTTATAGTACTTAATACTTTGCCCACTTACGTTGATTTCAAAGGTGAATCGTCTGTTCGTTACATTCATTATTATATGTACTTTAAAATTATCTGAGCTTGCAAAAGGTATTTGAACAGCAACAGAAGGTTCTGAGATAAAGACTAAAACATTCACGTTGAGTTACTCTCCTACTTTGGTCAGAATGAATCACATCCATCAAATATGCACACCAGAATATTCTGGCTAGAAGAGGAACGTCGACGTCAATGTTCTATTTAGAGAAGCTCTATGTATTCAACAGCCTAATGCGTATAGTACATTCTCGAAACATTAGGTATAAGAAGGCTTGAGAAAAGTAGAAATGCCCAGAAAAATTTAAGGAAACCAAGAGTATCTCGAAAATCTTGTCGATTTAGCTTAACCCGATAATCGCATAGTGAGGGGTGTTATGTTCCATTTTGGCATAGCTCAGGATGTTGAAGCACTACTCTTAGGTTTCCACACCCATACTGACTCCACGCATACAAAGTATTATACGAGGATCGGTTTTGTGATGGAGTCAGAGAATTTTTATTTATGAATGCAAATTGTCACAAACTAAAATATATTTTTTTTTATTTTTACTTTCCAAGCCTATTAGCGAGAAATTATTGTAATCAAGAAACGTTTTTGAGACAATGAAAAACAATGTCACTCATTTCAGTCAGTCTATCTGTCTATCTGAATATCGTTGGCCGGTCTATAACTTGGAAAATGAAGCTCAGATTGAAATGAAGCTTTTACCTAAGGTTACTACTGCGCCTAGCACGGAAAGGCTTTTTAGCTTTTGGAAATCGGTACAGTGGCGTGGGAGCTACTGGACAAAAAGCTAAAAAACGAGAAATCACTCAAACATCGTTTATTGACGTTTCTGAGGCTGCTGATAACTTTCAGAAAAATTTGAAGGAATTTTGGGTTGAGGGGGTAGGTCTATTTTTTGATCCCAACCCCGGTAATTCTACGCATCCATTAAACATATTTCACACATCATAGGTCTCCCCGTACTTTTGCCCTTAAAACTTAGAATGATAGAGACATGTGTCTGATACGCATCTCTACTTCTGATCTCTGGGCTCACCGGGCGGTTTTGATAAGCATCCTACCATTACCTTGACGATGCCGCGTCGTGTGGTCAGATATGGGGGAAAGGCGACGTTGCCAAATGGACGATACTACAGGTAGAGCAAGACTAATTGTATAAGCGTTTACTTCTCACCACCACGTGGTGGTAATTCCACAACGATTTTTCTCTCGATTTTCTAACTCTTCACTTGACTCCCTAAACCCTTTCTACTGAACTCAAAGCCGCACAACTTTCAATCAGAGGATCCTTCAGGTCGACTTTTTGAATAAATTGAATCGTGACCGTGTGAACAGTGATGACTCTCGCTGACTCAGCCAATAGTCACGACAGCAAAATCGAAAGAGAATGTTCTATAATCTTTCGTGGATAACTGATGAGAGAGGGAAAGAGATAGCGAAGAATGTTCAGTCCCAAAGGTGACTCGTGTGCCAAGATACTGGGTTCTCTTAGAACAAGCAAAATGGGAAAGTGGAGACCTATATGATTTGATATTGGACTTCAAAGAATGACGAACCACTTGCGAGGAGAATGTATCAAAACACTTATTTCCTGGGTAGTTCTCCGCATTCATAAAAATATGAAATATTATAAAGATATTATGGATTAGCCGGATTTTTCGGAATCAGTCCCCAGATTCACATCACTTTTCCCACTATGTCTCCTAGCAAGTGGCAGTGGTTTTATTATATATATAGTTGGATATACTCAAATTGATATAATCTATAATAATACCGGGCCCGATGAAGCCAACAAGCAGAAATACGTATTGCTCGGGTTACCTATCCTATTTTCTGCTCGAATCCACTTTATTTCTTTTAGCGGACTTTGCCCATTAATTTTTCTGTTTGTTATATGCCTTTCCCTGCATGATCATTTCCTTTTTGTAGAGCCTTTGGGCTTGAAGTACCACGGCAAGTGGCTATAACCTACAGCGTGATTGTGGTTAGATGACGCCTTGAAAACTCGAGATATTCTGGTCATTATACTACAAAGATGTTGGTTGGCTCTTGCTAATTACTTCGAGTGCCGTTTAGTTACCTCTCCATATTCGTTTCTTAGATTATACTCGTATCCGGATGATTAAATTTATTACTTCCCATGCATAGGGAGAACTTATTTAATCGCACAGTGTCGTATGCCTTTTCGAGATCGATAAAGGTTAGATGATCATTTCTTCCTCGCTCTATGCGCTCAATAAGCTGCTTAATTGTGAAGATGCCACCTAGACATGATCGACCAGCACTGAAGCCATTTTGTTCTTCGGAATCTCTCACTTGTCCTTCTGTTCCATATTTCAACATACGACCATATACGAGCTCCTTCCTACTTCAGTTGGCCCAACTATTGAAATCTTAGTTTTTTTCTTATCAAATACAAATAATAAAAATGTAGCAGGGTGTTATAGGTTTAAAATATTAACAACGAATATTTTGATAATATATAGAAGAAAACACCAATTTTATCTCTCCCTAATCAAATTTGCAGCATAAAAATAACACATGTTGCAATTACAGCATATCAACTTATTTTCATTTCAATGCAAAATAAGTCTATAACGCATAGGTGGCTGTGAAAAATAAAAGCCATGACAATTGTTTTTATCGATCACAGCTGTAAGAATACGTTTAAAATAGTTTTGAGTAGTTAAGGTTTTCAAAATGGGTAGAGGAAAGGTTATTAGTGAGAAAATTCGGTTACTTATAATTAATTTTTTTAATTCTGGGAAATCAAACTCAGAAATTGCAACTTTGTTAGACTTACCGCGGTACAGTGTGAGAAATATTGTTAGAACATATAACGTAACTGGTTCAGTTAATATTAAGCCACGATATGTGAAAAAAAGTAATATCACAAATGCCGACCGAAGAGCATTAAGAAGAATAATCGTGAAAAACAGGCATGCCAATTATTTACAATTAAGTGCTCTGTGGGGTGACGCTGTTGGAAGGAGAATTTCGAGGTCCACAACTCATAGAGAGACCCACAAACTGGGATTGAGCACTTGTAAGATAAGTTTTTTTATAAAAAAAAAGTGAAGTAAAAACCTTAAAGTTGCACAACTTGTTTATAGGTCAAAGAAAAGCCACTATTAACTCCACTGTAAAAGAAAAATCGGCTTAGATGGGCTAAAGAACATAGACAATGGACACCTCAACAATGGTATGCAATATAATGGAGTGATGAGGCCCGATTCGAAGTTTGTGTTGATGAAGTCGCAGAAGAGTTATTCGCAAAAAAATGAAGCATTCCATGTTGACTGTCTGAAGAGAAAAGTGAAATTTCCAGCATCCATTATGGTCTGGGGCAGTATGTTATCAAAAGGAGTGGGAAAACTTCATTTTATTGATGGAAATGTGGATACAAACAAATATTTGGCAATTTTAGAAGAATCGCTTTTACCAGTGATGGAAGAATGTTTGACATCCGGCCAAGATTTTGTGTTTCAGCAAGATGGTGCAGCGTACTATACCTCAAAAAAGGCTATAAAATGGATGGAAGAAAATAGTGTACCACTTTTGAAATGGGTTTCTAGCAATCCAGATCTGTCACCTATTGAAACTTTGTGGCACGAGATGAAAAAGATTCTACGACAACATCCTGCTCGTACAATCACCGAACTGAGACAAAAGCTTCAAGAAATATGGGATTGTTTTACACTAAATTTTTGCCAAAACTTGGTTAACACTATGCCCCAAAGCATTTCGGCCGTAATAAAAAATAAAGGTGATGTTAAATAATGGTAATCTT